AGTTGTTCAATGACATGACGTTACCCAGTAATTGATTCTCTCCGGTCCCATTAGTAGGGCATTAAGTAATTCTAATTTTCAATGAACACAAACAAGTGAAACTTCACATTTTCGGCAAGCAAGCTGTGGCTAAGATTTTCCATTTTGCAGTCTCTGTATGGGGATAGGTGTGTTCAGTGATGACTGACTCTCCACCCCCACCAACCAAGAAGCTTGTTGAATCGAATTCCAACCATCGTGTTAAGATCTTGACTGCCAAAATCTTGTTAAGAGCTGACCAGCAAGCTTCTTGGGAAATTGCAGGCCTTGATATTGAAATCCGATCTTGCCAGAAATAGTTCGCCATTCAGAGGCGAGCATCTTTTGTGTCCTAGAGGTCATTGCTGAAGACCTTGTCTTCAGGGGATCCAGTGGCGAGAGGTAAGTCTTTTTCAGGACTTGCTGGGTGGGGACCGTGGGGAGAGTGGTGTTGGAGGCAAGAGCAGAGGTTGGTCTTCAGTGACCACCCCTCAATCTTGCCCCCAATTGGCTCTTCTTGGCATTTCTCCAAGAGCAAAGAATTCGGGAATGTTGAACTCATTGGTTGCAGGCTCTTAGGTACCTACTCAAGCCTATCTGTGATTGGCATATTCACCCACAGCAGATGCAAGTGAAGATGCAGTTGCTGCTGCAGACGAATGGATCTAGTCTTCTATACCTAGTCTCTGACATCATGGTTCTTTGCTGAATCTCAAAGGTGTCTGTAGCACTTCTGATGTATCATGATCTATGGCTTGCAATAATCATTGTGGTATACAGAGGGACCTCTGCATGAGTCCTTGAAATATTTACATGGGGCTCTGCCGGTCCACTGTTCTACCAGTGACCAGCTCTCCATACAACATGATCTTGGGCAAGTGACTATTGTTTATCTTGTCAACGTGACTAACCCATGCAGTTGGCAATGACACTGGTGATATTGGAAGCTTCCAGGTCTTCAGTGTTTATGATGCAGTCCTGCCAGTGGATCTTGAGGATGCTAGAGAGTCAGTGCTGATGGAAGTGCTCTGCAAAGTGTACAGCATTTGTTATTCAGTACCCTACAGAAGAGTGGTAAGACCTATGGTTTTGTACCTTTTGAGTTTGTCTGGTCTCTAAGGCTGTGGCTGCTCCACACTTGTTTGTAGAGATAGGCAAATTCATTGTTTGCTTCAGCATATCCATTGACCACTTCATTCTCAATAAGTTGCACTAAACAAGATGATGCTCCCAAATAGGTAAATTGTTTCTTAGCATTCAGTGCCGTTCCCTTGATGGTGATGCTTGGCAGTTCATATTCTTCTTGGGAGGAAGGACTTCAGTTTTCTTTTTAAATAGATTTTTAGTCACCTGAGAAAACTCTATTGTTATATGTTGCAGGTCTGAAGGATTGTGAGCCTAGAGAACATAGTCATCAGTAAAATGTAGTTGACGGATGTGATTTTTCCTGTGTTTTTTCATATAAACTCCAAGATGCCTAAGATTGAAAAAACATCTCTCAATCCAGGAGCATATATAAACTCTGTCCTTAAGTTCTGTACCCCTTGATGCAACATCATGCTAATGAATATAGTGAATAAGGTCGGGGCTAGCATAGAAAATAAGAGCAGAAGTAGGGCATTCAGTCCTTTGAGCCTTCTCAGCTATTCAATATAATCATGATGATTGTCCAACTCAATAGCCTATTTCCCTCCATAAACTATGATCCCTTCAGCCACAAGTGCTATATCCAACTCCTTCTTGAAATCATACAATGTTTTGCCCTCGACTGCTTTATGTGATAGCGAATTCCACAGGCTCACCAGTATTTTGGTGAAAAAATTTCTCCTCATCTCACAATCCTTAGATTGTAACTCCTGGTTCCGGACTCCCCCAGCATCAGGAATATCTTTCTTGCATCCTGTTTAGATCTGTTAGAATTTTATAGGTTTCTATGAGATCCAACCCTCATTGTTCTAAACTCTAGAGAATATAATCCTACTTGATTCATCTCTCTTTATACGTCCATCCTGCCATCCCAGGAATCGGTGAGCTTGCACTGCCTCCATAGCAAGAACATCCTTCCTCAGATAGGGAGACCAAAACTACCCTCAGTATTCCAAGATCGTCTCACTAACCCCATTATAATTGCATTAAGACATACTTATCCTGTTGCCTTCTTCACTATCTGCTGCGCTTGCATGCTTACCTTCAGTGACTTGGACACTCAGGTCTCTTTGCACGTTCCCTTTTCTTAATTGATAGCCAATCATATAATAATCTGCCTTTTTGTTTTTGCTCCAAAAGTGGATCCCTTCTCATTTATCCACATTATACTGTATCTATCATGAATTTTCCCACTCGCTCAGCTTGTCAAAATCACACTGAAGAATCTTTGCTTCTTGCAATTAGCTGACGCCCCCCAGCTTTGTGTCATCTGTAAATCTGGAGATATTCCATTTAGTTTCCTCATCTAAATCATTTATTATATTGTGATTATCTGGGGTCCTAGCACTGACTCCAGTGGTACCTCATTAGTCAATGCCTGCCATTTGGAAAATAACTCCTTTATTCCTACTTTTGTTTCCTGTCTGCCAACAAATTTTCTGTCCATTTCAATACATTACATCCAGTCCCAAGCGCTTTAATTTTGCAAAATGAACTGTTATGTGGGACTTTGTTGAAAGCCTTCTGAAAATTCAAATAAAACACATCCTCTGGCTCCACATCATCAACTTTACTAGTTAGTTTGTTGAAGAATTCCAATAGATTTGTGAAGCATGATTTTCCTATTGGAAATCCATGCTGATTCTGCCCAATCCTGCTCCTGTTTCCAAATGCTATGCATTTAAATCTTTTCTAAAGGTGTTTAACATTTTCCCACTAACAATGTCAGGTTGATTGGTCTATAACTAGTTTTCTTTCAACCTCCCTTTTTAAATAGAGGGGTTACATTAGCTCGTTTCATTCTGCCAGAACTCTTCCAGAGTCTATAGAATCTTGGAAGATAACCATCAATGCGCCGACTATTTTTAGGGGCACTTTTTTGGAGTATGGGTTTTCAGACCCTGGGGATTTATTGGCCTTCATCCCATCAATTTCTTTTCCAATGCTATTTCCCTAATACTATTTCCCTACTACTACTGGTTTCCTTCAGTTCCTCCCTCTCACTATACCCCGTCTTCTGCAACACTTCTAGTATGTTACATATGCTCTTCTTTGTGGACACACGACCAAAATGTGTATAGAGTTTGTCAGCCATTTTTCATTCCCTATTATAAATTAGCCTGTTTCTGCACATATGTCTTCACCAATCTTTTTCTCTTCACATGCCTATAGAAACTTTTGCAGTCAGTTTATATGTTCCTACAAGCCGACTCTTGTACTGTATTTTCCCCTTCTTAATCGATTGCTTTGTCCTCCTTTGAATCCTAAATGCTCCCTCCCCTTTGTATGGCCAGTTTATATGCCATAGAGTCATTCAGCATGGAAACTGGCCCTTTGGCCCAACTCTTTCATGCCAACTAGGTTTGTTAAACTGAAGGAGTCTCATTTGCCTGCGATTGGCCCATATTTGTCTAAACCTTTCCAAATGTCCTGGAAAGATACTTGTCTCAACCAGTACTTAAATATTGTGGCAAGAAGGTGGTATCTTTCCAGGGCTAAATTGCCCAATATTTGCCCATCTCACCACATTCTTTCGCATCTATGGGAGAAGGGGTTGACAATGCACTATGCTTTAAGTTAATTATTTGCAAACTTATAAGAATAATTTTTGACGCTGTTTAACCTTCACTGGTTTAGTTTCTAAATAGAACAATGGAATGAAACCATAGAAAGGTTAGTGTACAGGAGGCAGTTTTCCCCCAACCGGATCCATGATTTATGTTGCCTCCACCACACTCTTGTCATATGTAGTGTCTGGTATCAGTTTCAGCTAACAGTGTCCACATTGCTACTTTACGACTAAGAAGAATGATCCAAAGGAATTGAATCAATTGAGAAAGCAGACATGTTAAATAATTACTTTGCGTCAATATTTACAATAGAGGAAGTGGGTAGCATGCCAGACATCCCACAGAAATGAATATTTAATCAAAGCCAATGACTTACCAAAGTTAACTGAAGCAAAATAACAGTAATGAAGAAAGTAAGGAATATGAAAGAGTGATAAATCCTGAAGGCCAGATGGCCTCCAAACCATGATTTTAAAAAAAGTTGGGGACCAACATTTCATTTAGGAACAATTCAAATTTATTTGAAAATCATACATGTACCTCCACTGTTTATGAAAGTAGAGAGAAGGAAACAGTGAATTACAAACTCTTTTGCCAAGCAACTGTTATGAAGCAATTTCTAGAGCTGAATTTTAACTTAAAAGACGTGTGGTTTTTACCTGTGTTGGGACAGGGAGGGGCAGATTAAAGTTTCAGAAATCTGTCTTCTGACTAAAATGTCCTTCTGACATACCCATTTCTAGCTTTAACTGATGCCAGAAGTTGGGAGGACGACCAGCCCAATCTAAAGAGGCAGGTTGGAAATTTAATTAAAGTAATGGGTGAGACTCATTGCTCCCTAGAGGTTCATTCTGCTTTTGAAACTTAATTGCTGTTGGCCAAGTTTCTGCACTGCCCAGTAAACTGATAGCTTCTTCAAGGTGGGACCTTGGTGGATTTAGAAGGTAAGTGCCTTCACCTTGCTATGATCTTTGTTAGGATGAGTTTGTTTTAAGAAAAAAAAGAACAGACTGAAAAAATCTGAATTTGAAGTCTCGGTTATTTATTGAAAGAATGAAGCAGCTTGATTCCATAGTTTTAAACATACAATGAGTGCCATTTCGATGAGGTTGGGAAAAGAAAGGGCGTCCACAACCAGCACATGCTGTGCTGAAGGGACTGTACCCATTCTGTGATTCTAACCTGCATTGTTGCTGGATAATCAAAATCTAATAAGTGAAGAAAAATTGCTCGCAAGTAAACATTTTTTCCATTTTATCTCGGCAGGCAATGGTAGCCTGCTACCCAGGGAATGGAACAGGGTATGTCCGGCACGTTGACAATCCAACTGGTGATGGTCGTTGTGTGACATGTATTTATTACCTGAATAAAAACTGGGATGCAAAGGTATGAGACATTCCTTTCTTTCTTAATGAATAGCAGTATGGCTATACAGGTTATGTTTGTGCTTGTCTTATTTCAGACAACACTTCCTAAAACAAACTGATTTTAATGACTCTTTTTATTATTTAAATGTAAATGTTTCTAATCTATTGATTAATGTTTGTTTTGTCATACATTTGAAAGTGTTAGTTACATGTACTTTTAATTTCCATCATACATTAAGTAATGATGGTCACGCAGTTTTCGGTTTTCACGCAGGCCACCACTGATCCATGAGTTCTGGGTTAAAACTTGTTTGCTGTGACACAGTGGAAATCAAAATTCCAACGTTTGTGTTGCTATAGAGAAATGTGCAGCAGAAATCTGGAAAGAGATTAAGTTAGACATTGCTATCAATGCTTTGTCCTTGCAAATTTCATAGTGGTAGCCCCACCTAATGATGTGCAAGTTCAGGAACAGATTGTCCACTGTCCATGTGATAATTTTAGGTATACGATGAAAGAAACACAAAATGTGTTGGTACTCAGAATACCATTTTGTTCAGTTGGCACAACAGCTTCATGAAATAACACTTCTAGAGAGCCTTCCAACTGCTGACTGCCCATTTCTCACTTGCTAAATAGATGATTGACATCTGTAAATCTGAAGAGGCCATTGCACATACTTTCAAGTTTCAGTCAAAGATTGAATAGATCTTTAAATGGATGGCCAGCACTCTTGCCCACACAAGGCAGGAAATTTTGTTAAACATATAATTTAAAATTGCCTTTTGTAAGATCCTGACTGCAACTTTCAAGCTGATATGTATAAAGCATGTATGTATTTTTACTGCCGGCTCTCTTTTCTCCAGGTATTGAAGGCTGCTGGACACCTCCCCTAAAATTATAACTTTGTTTCCTGAATTTTTGTGAGCAAGGAAGAGCAGTATTGCAACAATATTTTCCTGGTTGGCTGCTTGTTATCTGCTGCCCAGAGGCATTTATTCAACTCATCCTGCTATCCCAGATATATCTTGCCATGGGGCTGCATTCTGTATCCTGATGATATTTCTCCTCATTGAACTGACAGGCTGTGATGATGTGTTCATTTAGCACCGCAGCATATCAACAAATTTCTACAATCCCAAAATTACAAGTGGTTTGGGCTGCTGAATATTGTGTTGGCTAAATAAATGGGCACACTACCAACATCGCACCATTCCTGAAAGTTTCCCCATTACATTTGGATGTCAAGAAAAGATCAGGCTATTTTGAAAATGTGATAACTTGCATATTGGCAATGATTATATAATCAAGCTCTGTCTGATTTGGAGATCTGCCATCGCTTGTTATGGCTGGTTACTCCTGTTAGAAGAAGTATTTCACTGTCCTTAGTTTTTGCTTTGATCCTTGCCTTAATATGTTCAATACTGGCTATGTTATGCGTTTTGCTTAAAAGCGCTAGGCATCACAGGTATAATTTGATTTCATCACATTTTTAATGCTTTAATTTTGTTAACTTTTGCTAACTTTCATATCTTGAAAACTATTACAGCAAAACATATTACTTTCATAACATAACTGAATTGTCTTTCCAGAATTGATATTTCTTAGACAATCTGTTGAAACTTATTTTTTTTAGGTTGATGGTGGTATTCTTCGAATATTTCCAGAAGGAAAATCATACGTAGTTGACGTTGAGCCAATGTTTGATAGATTGTTGTTATTCTGGTCTGATCGAAGAAATCCACATGAAGTACAACCAGCATATTCTGTCAGGTATGTCCTCGTTGGAGTCTTTGTAGAGATAACTGTAAGACACCGCCACCTTCACAAACATATTTGGGGAAGGCAATAAATATTGGCCCATTGGTAATGCCCACATTCTGTGAAGAAATAGACGAGAAAAAAAGCCATACCAATATTCCTAACATAGTGTGCAAAATTGAATCAGAGATAGTAGGAACTGCAGATGCTGGAGAATCCGAGACAACAAGGTGCAGAGCTGGATGAACACAGCAAGCCAAGCAGCATCATAGGAGCAGAAAGGCTTGCGACTCACAAGCTTCAAAATCTCCCCTCCACCTACCGCATCCCAAAACCAGTCCAGCTCGTCCCCGCCTCCCTAACCTGTTCTTCCTCCCACCTATCCCCTCCTCCCACCTCAAGCCGCACCCCTATCTCCTACCTACTAACCTCATCCCCTCCCCCTTGACCTGCCCGTCCTCCCTGGACTGACCTATCCCCTCGCTAACTCCCCACCTACACTCACCTTTACTGGCTCCATCCCCGCCTCTTCGACTGTTTGTTTCCTCTCCACCTATCTTCTCCTCTATCCATCTCCTATCCGCCTCCCACTCTCTCCCTATTTATTTCAGAACCCCCTTCCCCTCCCCCATTTCTGATGAAGGGTCTAGGCCCGAAACGTCAGCCTTCCTGCTCCTATGATGCTGCTTGGCCTGCTGTGTTCATCCAGCTCTGCACCATAGTGTGCAAAATGTTTGGTTGTTCCACTTGTTTGTAAAACTTGAAATCATGTTGTCACTTAATTTATGGCAAAGCTGTAATGAAGTTAACAATACATAGATTCCTGAATGTCAGCTTTAAATGATAGCTGAATTAAAGTTTATAAACTATACATTTTGGTAAATTATAAGAGAAAAGTCATGGCAAGAAAAGTTATGAAAAGGAAAAAATAATTTTCTGACACCCCTCCCCCCATTTTAAAAATCTGTCTGCATAGTTGTGCCAAAAGCATCTGTCAAGGAGCTTATGCTTCTTCTGATCTTGTTTGAACGTGTGTCCACCATTCATCATTTCAGTCATTAACACCAGTGGTATGCCATTACAGACTTGTGGAAGCCAAATTCCTGTATAAAGATTCTGCAAAAGTTTGGGACTGAAGCCAAAATGAACACCTGACGTTATCATTAAGATTTGAGTTTTGAAAGAACTTTGATTTGCAAGTATTATTGTATAACTGAAGACTTCCAACCTTTGATTTTGACAAAATTTAATAAAGCACATCCTAGTAAATGTACTTATCGTAAATATCATTGAGATAATGATGTGATTCGAAAGAAATTATGAGATCGATAGTAATGTTGCTCAAAAAAGTTGGATAAGCCATCATGCTGTCTAGACATAGTCTAAATCAGAAGAATCTAAATCTAACTGTTGGTCACTTTTATGAGAAAAGGGCTGTTGCACCAAGACTTGTATTCTTTTATTTGATCATGAGATGTGGGCATCTCTAGCTAGGCCAGAGAAGATGGTAGTGCGCTACCTTCTTGAACCACTGCAGTCCTTGGAACATAGAAACAGGAGTAGGCCATTCAGCCCCTTGAGACTGTTCCACCATTCTGTGAGATCATGGCCGAGTATGGCCTAACTCCATGTAACTGATTTTGGCCCCCTTGAAATCTTTGCTTCACTAAAATTTATCTCAGATTTAAAATTAATAATTGATCCAGCATCCACTGCCATTTGTGGAAGAGAGTTCCAGACATCTACCATCCTTTGTGTGTAGAAGTGCTTCTCATTGAATCGTCTTGCACTAATTTTCAGACAATGTCCCCTTGTTCTAGAAGTACCAAACAATTGTTTTATCTTTAAATTTTATCTTTATCTATCCTGGGTTTTCCTGCTAAAATCTTGAAGACTTCAATCAGGTCTCCCCTTAACCTTCTAAATTATGGAGAAAGCCAGCCTAATTTGCATAGTATCTCCTTAAACTTAACCCCTGAAGTCCAGGTATCATTCTTGTAAATTTTCTTTGTACTCCCTCCAACCCAATATATCCTTCTTAAGATGTGGTGCCTAGGTCTGCTCACAGTACTCTTAAGTGGGACTAACCTGGAGGTTTGTATAATTGCTGCATAACTTCTGCATCCTTGTACTCCCAGTCCTTTCAATATAAAGAACAGCATTCCATTAGCTTTCTTGATTATTTCCTGCACCTGTTCATCACATTTTAAAGATCTATGCACCTGAACCCCTAAGTTTCTTTGGACATCTACCTGTATTTAACTTCATACCATCTAGAAAGCACTTCAATCTAACGTTTTTTGACCCAACATAGATAACTTAACAATTGAACTCCACTGCCAGTTTTACCCATTCACTTAGTCTGTCACTGTATTCCTTTGTAATTTTATGCTTTCATCTAGACTGTCTACAATGCCACCTAACTATGTGTTATCAGAAATTTGGGGTATATTGACCTTATATACTATTATCCAAGTCATTGGTAAATAATGTGAATAACTGAGGCTCTAACACAGATCCTTGTGGAATACCATTCATCACATTCTGCCAATTTGATTACCTAAACATCATCTCTACTTACTGCCGCTCAACCAATTTTTGAGCCATGTCACTAATTTGCCCTTAATTCCGTGAGCTTCCACCTTAGTTAACAGTCTCTTATGTGGGAATTTATCCAATGCCTTCTGGAAGCCCAGACAAACAGCATCCACAGATATTCCCCTGTCCACTACTTTAGTCACCTCTTCCAAAAACTTCAATGAGATTTGTCAGGCATGTCATACCTGTCATGAAACCATGCTGGCTTTCCCTGATTTAAAAAAATTTTCGAAGTGTTCAGTTACCTCATCCTTTATTATAGACTCCAACAATTTCCCCATCACAAATGTTAGGCCAATTGACTTGTAGTTCCCTGGTTTTCCTCTTTTGCTTTCTTAAAAAGCAGAGTAACAATCCGAAGGGAGCTCTGAAAGATCATAGTTGACAATGTGTTCCCCAACTTCCTTTAACACCCTCGAATGGAAATCATCAAGTCTCGGGAATTTCCCCAATACCAATGTTTTACTTACATCAATTTTATTTATTCCTTGTCCCTGAACCACTGTTCATTTCCTCAGGATTTGTGGCAAGTTATCCTCCTTTTCTACTGTAAGTATTGAAGCAAATTAAATGTGGATATATGCTGTTAAGAAAGAAGTCTCAGGATTTTGAGACCATGACAGTGAAGGAATGGCAGTGTTGTTCAAGGCAGAATGGTGTGCAGCTTGGACGGGAAATTGAAAGTGGTGGTGTCCCATGTATCTACTGCTCTTGTCCATCTAGATGGTAAAGGTCACAAGTTTGGATGGTGTTGTTGATGGATACTCGGTGGGTTGCTTGAGTGTATTTTTGTAGAAAGTGTGCACTGCTTCCACAGTGTATCAGTGTGAAGGAGGTGAATGTTGCAGGTGTTAGATGGTGTGCCAGTCAAGCATGATGTTTTGTCCTGTATGGTGTTGAAATTTTTTGAGTTTTCTTGGAGCTATTTCCATCCAGGTATGAAAAGGGTATTCCGTCAGAGCCTTGACTTGTCTCTTATGGGCAAGCATTGGGAAGACAGGATTTGAGTGACTTGGCACAGAATTGCTTGCCTCTGACCTGTTGGTTGGTCCAGTTCAGTTTCTGTTAATGGTAAACTCCGTGATGTTGATAGCGATGGATTCAGCAATGTTAATGCCATTGAATGCCAAGGAGAGGGAGTTAGATGGTCAGGTTTTTGGCTGATGCTTGAAAATCTGAGATTTAGTTCCAGATGTTTAGCAATTGAAGGGATGATTTGCATTTATATAGCAGTTTTATCATATCCCAAAGTACTAGACAGCAGAGAAAAAAAAATCAAGGTTAGCAAATGCAACAGTTAGTTTGCACAAAGCAAGATCCCTCATTGGTTGAGGGATGAATTTGTCTAGAATGCTGAGAGTCCCTTATCCTGGAATATCCTGGCATTGTGGAATCCTATACATCAACAACAATGACTTCAGCTTTATGGGCAGGGTCTTACCTTACAGCAGTGTGCCTGTTTCACTCAGTTCCTGCTCTGGTAGACACCCCTACAGTCATTCATCACTCTTTGTAGCAACAATTGGCTGAGGACAAGTATTACATCTGACGGACATGGACCAATCAAATAGCTGGCAGCCCTTTAGCTCAAGTAGTATCAGTAATGGGAGTCTTTTACTTCGATTGCATCCAGACCCCAATGGAGATCTTTGCTGGAGTCAGAAGTGGGTGATGGCTTTGACTGTTGAGGCTAGCACAGTCTGGCAAGGTTAATGAGGTTGAGGTTGAGGCTGTAAGGATGGACAAGCTAGAAAGGATGATGCTGGGTAGATCTCTGGGCACTTTGTCCACTAGCAGCCTGAGGAGACCTTCCAAACTTCTCACTTGGGACCATTGGAAATATTATGGTGAACATGGGAAGAGGGCTGTAGGTAATTAGCCAATTAAGGGCCTCATTTAGCCCAAAAGCAGGCAGACTGCTCAACACCTGCCACACCATTAGTAAAAATGCAGGGTGTGGGCAGATTGGCACCAGGAACGGTACACATGGAATTACAACCAATTTAATTGCCCCAACTGCTTTTTAACCCACTCTCAGGAGAGCACTTCTTCCAGCCCCAAACAAGTAGCTCATTACATAGAACTTGGACCATCAACTCCTAAATGCAGAGAAGGAAGAAGGCAATGAATAATCCAAATCCAGACATTCTCTTTACAAAGGCATCCAGCTGCCTTCTGTAGCCATATAAAATGCAAACTATCCTGTGAATGAAAAATCACTTCAAGGAACTCCTACACCTTGAGACACTTGCTAGAGTTCTGCGGCATATATTTGCTCATGTAGCATGTATTATGCACTGTGACCATAACCAGAAAATGGTTGTAACCATTATCAAACTCCAAAGAAGTCTGATATATAAAGATATCCCCTACAAATACTTTTCTGTTAAGGAACTGATGGGAAACTGTTGCCAGCGAGGAATGAACATCTTTGTGTCATTAAATAATGTTTGTTCACTGTTGATGAAATGAGGGGATTAAAACAGGAAAATAAAATAAAATTCACAGTTGATGTCCTCTCCTTCCCACGATATATGCATTGGAGACAAGGTATTGCCAATATGCAAATTTTAAAATGTTTATTGTTTTGAAGTTTTGTTGTGATTTGTTTCACCACTGTTTAAGGAATAGTTGATAAATGATAGCAGTGGGAAATTGCAAACTTGCTGTTTAGTGAAAAGTCTGGCAGGACAGAAAGCCCAGCTGGTGTTAAGTGACAAATTATCTGTTGATTCATTACTCATATCAAGATGGACTTTAAGATTTTAAAATAATTTTCTAAATGATTGAGGGCATAAAAGGAATCTTATGAAAGTACCTAAGGTGTTTGAAGAGAAATGTTATCACTTTTGGTCCTGAAAATTTCATAATCTACATTTGAGATAATTTACTCTCCAAGGGTAATGTAAGATTTGAACAACACGTGAGGCTAGCCATTTCACATTGCTACTGCATAGTGGCAACATTAGTGTTATTTGCCACTAGCAGTATACTGCCATCAAGCCGAGAGCACCTTCTGTCACATAAATGTAATGCAATATATAAATTTCATTGCCAGTGTGATGCAATATATGTAGGCTGTACATCCCAAAGACTGGCAGTTCATATCAACTAGCATATCCTGTCAACTATTCGCAACAAGCAAGTTACCAACTGTGTCTAACCAGCCCATGCTTGCAAAATTCCAAATACAGTGTCCAACACTAGATGTGAATCTACAATTGGCCTACATTTGTGAAATACATCTGAGCGTGTGAAGAATTATTCAGGCAATCAAATTTAGGGTTATCATGTCAGTAGGAAGACTTGTAAGGTTATAGATAGAAAGAAGATGTACGGGCACAGTGTTTGTTTCAACACAAAAAAACAGATGACAGCCATTCTGTGGTTAATTTTTCAGGGCAATATTTTGAGAAATCAGTGTTAACCTTCCAAGTTTAAAATCGAAACAAAGCTTGGTAGTTAACTGTCAGAAACTTTGCATTCCCCTTGTCAATGCCTCTGCCTGTCAGCATTCATTTGCTAACCAAGCAGCAGTCTCTTCTTGTACAGTGTAAATGTTGTTTTCTCTTTGGTATTTCTTGAAAATTGTCCTAAAGAGTGCAAGATGAAAAGCTTCGAAAAAATGTGCCTTTTTCAGCAAAGCTAAAATTTTTGTGTTCCAGATATGCTATCACGGTATGGTACTTTGATGCAGAAGAGAGAGCTGAAGCCAGAACTAGGTACCGTAATCGCACAGGTAAAATATGAATTTTGATTGATCTTTTTCTAAGGAAGTGATATATAAATAGTATGAACTATTTGTATTAGTAACTTTCTTTCTTCTTCTTCAGCTTCTGGAGAAGCAACAAGCTTTTCATCATGACTGTAACAGCGGTGAAACTTGACCGATGAGCTAAGCCTTTGAGCAGTGGTAATTCACATGACCTTTTCATCAACTCCAAAGACAAGTGTCCTTCCACAATAATCCTATTAAATGCCATGCTTATGAATAATAGTTGTATGTTGACTTCTGCTCTTATCTATAATAGAGATGGTACTGGCTGCTGTTTAACCTACCTTTCAATGAAAAGGTTTTTAGCAGAATCAATCTGTAATCCAACATTGCACAATATAAAATTCAATGTCAATGTAATTATGCATAAGAATATAGCAAGTGTGATGTGTTAAATATTATGACCATTTTACATAATTAGGTCTAATATTGCACTTTATATAGATTATTTCCAGATTGCAAGGGCGCTGATTAATAATTTTGATGGCTATATTTTTTTTCTATTTAAAAGTAGTCGAATGATTTTATTTGTGGCATTTTTTCATATTCCACCATTGATGGTGTTTGACCATCACCTACTGATTGTTATTAAGAATGTTTGTTTGTTCAACTTTTGTGTAACATGTAAATAAACCTGATAACCTTACAGCTTTATTTAACTTTATTTATATGGAAGCTAAATATATCATTGTGCAAAAGAAACACATTTCTCCTAATGTTACTATGAATAATCTTTATCGCACTTCACTGTGATTAAACTCATTAAGACTTTTACTTTTATTCTCTAATGATTTGCAGTTTATTCTTATTTGTGAGAGCATTGTGCATTACTATATCAAACTTGTGTTAACTATGTCTGAAGAAAGAATACAACATTATAAGTGAAATATTTTCTGTTGTTGCCTTTTATTAGGGAAGTATAATTCCATGGGAATTCCTGACGTAACTTGAACATGTGAGCAACAAAATTACTGAATTTGCAACTGGATGCCATCGTGTATGCTGGTCAACAATTTGGCAATTCAGTAGTGGCAATAAACAAGTTGTACTGGAAGGTTTCTTTGAAAACTATAAAAGTTATATTGCCAGATAATAAAATGGTTCCTCCTATAAGGACACAGAAATGATTTTATACAAATATGGTTGTGTGTTGTTTTTGTTTTCTCTCCTCTTACTGCAACATTATTAAATGACTGTTGTTGACCCTTCGGCGGTTCTGGTTCCATGTAACTATGCTTTACTTTAAACAGCTGGGCTTGTTTTCAGTTATCCTGTGTTGCTTCATGTTTGACAAAATATGGATCTTTCCTTTATTTATAAAAGCTGTTTGCTAGCATATTTGGCACTGTTAATTTTTAACGGTTGACCAAGAATTTCTCAATTCATTACTGTCTAGGATGTCATATGGCTGGGAGCTACATAAATCTGCACGCTAAATGAATTTTATGCCTGTTGACATAAAATTTGCATTGTAACAGGCATTTTTGCTGAAGTAGTCTTTGCTGGTATTTATACTTGAACACTGAAAAAAGTGTGCTGATTCTACAAAATGTATACAATTATTTATATTTTTCAAAGTATTTACTAGCCAAAACTGAGAAATATTGAGGAATGTAGGATGCTGCTCTCCGGGCTGGGAGTTTTTTTTTAAGAATATATCTTTCACTATATAAACCGGAGACTGTTAAACATTTCATTGGAAAAGTAAAGATTTTTAAAAAATATGAGTCATTATTTTTTGATATCAAGTATTAATGGTCACAAGGTTCTAAAAACATGAGATATGGTATAGTGTATTTATCCTTTAGAACGGTTTTTCTTATTCTCCAGTAATGCTTAAAAGTTATTCATCTGCATTGTTTCAGGCAAAAAAGATGTCTTTTGTCCTCAATTATTTGTGAAACAACCTTCATTACTGAACACAGATAAGTGGAAATTAAAGCTGAAAGTACTTACAGAAGATCAGAAACTAACAGTTAGTTGTTTTACAAGTACAATGATCTGTAACCGAAGACTTGAGTAACAGGCCACTTGTTTGCACAGTGAATTGCTGACAATATGGTTATCATGTTGGCCATTGCCCCGAATGCTGGTATTTTACCAGTGGCAGAGGGTGCCCATGTCACCTGGTGAAGCTTTCAGATAAAACATGGCAAGCCAGCTGTGCTCTTGAGAGGGTGGAGGTTCCTGTTCAGTCATTCTGTGTCTAACCAAAGCTCCCTACATCATTGCTATCCGATCCCCGCATATTCCTTTTTCACTCTGGGCAACATACCACAGCCTCACACCATCGTTTCCAGACCAAAGCTGCCCACTTCCTTTGGTGCTGTAAGGAAGGACCACTGATGTTAGAGCGTAGATCACTATTTTCAGTGGTGCTGAAGAGCAACCAGTTATTTAACTGGCTGACAGTGCCCAGAGGCAAGACGTGGGGGACGAAGTGAGAACCTAATGGGTATTAAATCTGGTTAAGGTTTCCTGACCACAGACTCCACAAAAAAAAATGATGTAGTTACATGAAATTGGTAGTTTGTTGATGCAAGATTTTGTACTGATATTAGCACTGTATTCAAAGGTAGCATATGAAGTGTGTACAAAATTTCCTTGAGCTGATGTAACACATGCAAATATACTGAGGGCGTACTTAGAGTCACAGAGCTGTTCAGCATGGAAACAGACCTTTCGGTCCAACTCATCCATGCTGACCAGATATCCTAGATAAATCCAGTCCCATTTGTCAGCATTTGGCCCATATCCCTCTTAAACCCTGCCTATTCATATACCCATCTAGGTGACTTTTAAATATTGTATTTGTACCAGCCTCTACCCCTTCTTCTGACAGTTCATTACATAAATGCATCACCCTCTGTGTGAAAAAGTTGCCCCTTGGGTCCCCTTTAAATCTTTCCCCTCTCACCCTCAATCTATGCCCTCTACTTTTGGACTCCCCCACCCCAGGGAAAAGACCTTGACTATTCACCCTATCCATGCCCCTCATGATTTTGTAAACCTCTATAAGGTTACCCCTCAGCCTCCGACACTCCAGACAATAGCCCCAGCCAATTCAGTCACTCCCTATAGCTCAAACCCTCCAACCCTGGCAACATCCTTGTACATCTTTTAGTAACCCTTTCAAGTGTCAGAACATCTTTCCTAAAGCAGGGAGATGAGAATTGCACGCAGTATTCCAAAAGTGGCCCAGACGATGTCCTGTACAGCCGCAACATGACCTCCCAGCCAATAAAGGCAAGCATACCAAACGCCTTCTTCACTATCCTGTGTACCTGCAACTCCACTTTCAAGGAACTATTAACCTGCACTCCAAGTCTGTTTCTTCAGTAACGCTCTCCAGGACCTTACCATTAAATGTGTAAGACCTGCCATGATTTGCCTTTCCAAAATGCAGTACCTCACATTTATCAAAATTAAACTCCATGTGCCACTCATCGGCCCATCTGGTCAATGTCCCATTGTACTCTGAGGTAACCTTCTTCTCTGACCATTACCCCTCCTATGTTCACATCCAAATCATTTATATAAATGACAAAAAAGTAGTGGACCCAACGCCAGTCCTGTGGTACACCACTGATCACAGGCCTCCAGTCTGAAAAGCAACCCTGCACCATCACTGTCTGTCTTCTACCTTCGAGCCAGTTCTATATCCAAATGGCTAGTTCTTCCAGTATTCCATGTGATATAACCTTGCTAACCATCTATATTGAGGAACCCTGTTGAATGGCTTTCTGAAGTCCATATAGATCATGTCCACCGCCGAGCCCTCATCAATCCTCTTTGTTCCTTCAAAAAACTCATTCAAATTAGTGAGACGATCTTCCATGTGCAAAGCCATGTTGACTATCCCTAATCAGTCTTTGTCTTTCCAAATTCAAGTAAATCCTTTCCCTCAGGATTCCGTCAACAACTTGCCCACCACTGATTTCAGGCTCACTGGTCTATAGTTCCCTGGCTTTTCTTTATCACCTTACTTGATCAGTAGCACCACATTAGCCAACCTCCAGGCTTCTTACCTGCGGCTATCAATAGTACAAATATTTCAGCAAGGGGCGCAGCAATAACTTTCTTAGCTTTCCACAGAGTCCTAGAGTACACCTGATCATGTCCTGGGAATTTATTCACCCTTATGTGTTTTAAGATGTCCAGCACCATATAATGGGGACTTTGTAAATTTATAACATGCATAAAAGAAATAAGTGAAGAAATATTACATCTAATTCAGGACACCACATATTAGAAGGGAAATAAAGGCTTCGGAGAGGATATAGAAGAACATTTACTTAAATGGTTTTCAAGATAAAAGATTATATTTAGATTGGCTGGAGAAGTTGTTTGTTCATTTGGAGCCAGGAAGGCTACAAGGAGATTTAATAAGAGCCTTTATCATCATGAAGCATTTGAAAAGAATAAGAGACCTATTTTCTATGTCTGAAGGGTGGTAATCAGATTTAACGTGGTAAGCAAAATATCTTGTTAGAATCTTTTTTACACAATACAATGAATTGCAATTCCTGTTAAATCAGTGGAAACACATATAACGAGAGCATTCAGGAGAACATGTTGTCATGATGAGTTCATATTATTATAGGTGTATTAAAGCCTCCTTGAAGTTTTTCCCAGCCTGGTTGATACTCTTGAAGCTGAAAAAATATTTTAAGAGTTTCCATTTTACTGAGGTGACTTTAGGCAACCCATATGCATAACCTGTTGTGAAAATGCTGTTCATGTTTTTACTGCTGTGACAAATTCTTGCACAGCAATTCAGACAATACACAGTGTTCCAAATAAAATTCACCCCATTCTTTAAAAAAGAAACCATTTAGACCAATTTCTCAATGTTAACATTTTTTGAAAAGAACCTAGGTGTTGGTCATTTAAATTAATTGATTCATTTTTGAGATACATTTACAAACTTAGACCAAAAAATGGGTGAAAACATTAAATAAAACCAAAAGAACTGCAGATGCTGTAATCAGGAACAAAAACAAGTAGCTGAAAAAGCTCAGGAGGTCTGGCAACATCTGAAAACATTAACTTTTCCAACTTTTAGTGACAAATATAGTAAATGCTTACAAGAGGAAACTAAATACATATCTAAAAGAAATTGCATAGATATACTGAAAGAGCTGGATGGTGGAACAAAGTGCCTTCCTTGCTCTTGGAAGAACTGTTATAGGTTCCTATACTGTGCTACCTTATGATTCTAAGATACAATATAGAAATCTGCCTCACAAGTAAAATGTGCAATTTGCAGTCCTCATTTATTCATGCATCCATTCTGATGTACTATAGTATTTTTTGTTGGTGTGAATGTTCTCCAATGTAGCACTACAGAATTTCTTTCATCAGTTAGGTTGCAAAAACATCATTTCAATCGTCAACATAGGCTGAGAATGGTAGGCAGTAAACTGTCAAGCGAACTTTCCAAAATGAATGCTGGTGAGCCTTAATGCAATGTTAAACTTGCACATCCTGTTTAAAATCGTGGGAGGTTCATTGATGTTTAATTACCAATTATTTGAAAAAATGTAATTGATGTGATTTTCAGCAACTTAAGACTCAAAGTTTGAGCAATGCTGTGATAGATTTCAGTGATCTATCTCTTAATGGTCATGGGGAAGTGAGTGAAGAATTGCAGTTGAAACTGGAGCAGGTTACAGTGTTGAGTTTTAGTACATGCTGAGGTATTGTTTCCAGAACTCGATATAAAAAGAAAATTAAAATGCTCCCTCAAGCATGGAATGGAAGCAACCACAGTATGTTTTAATTACATCCAATGGTGAGCATTGACACAAAAATATATTTTTCAATTTACACCTAGTTAATGAGCTAAAACATTCTAGCTCCATGAATTATATAGTATTTTGTAGGTTTATACTACCACTGAAACTGCTGTAGGAGCAAGCTGTTAAGAAACATGTTATTTATCAAAATTATAGTTATTCTGACATGTTCTGCTTATTTAATAATCTTTGCTGCTTTCAAATGAATAGATCCAAATATTGTTTTCACACAATGTTGTGATGTATTGCACAGACTTTCTGTAAATCAATGACCGTAAATCAAAACAACATTATTTTAAAAAGAACAGATCATCTACGTTGTTGAAACATGTGCCTTCCT